AAAAATGCTAGAATGGTGTGGCGTGGCCCAGGCCTGGATGTTTATCAATGAGCTATATGACATTTATTTTGCATGTAAAATGTCACCAAGATGCAACAAAAGTTGTTAGTGTTACTTTTTTTTTATTAAAAGGTATGCGTTTAAGGAGCTCTAAGCAGTGGATTAAAGATTATTACTCGTTTGTTTAAAAAAATCACTGCATACAAAAGCTACCTAATATATAATAATTAATATTTCTTGGTTCGTATTTTATGCGCTGCCATACCGCTACCGCAGAGGAGAAGGGTTACAATTTCAATATTTGGTGATTGATAAAGTAATCCAAAAATTCATCTATTAGATAGTTGTCCTCAGCTAGGAAAATTTCTTTGCGATGTTTTCTTTCACCATCTATCACTTGGTAAATCAACATATCAAATTATTGCCATTTATTTACTTCAAAAGAGACCCCGGCATAACATAAGTCGTTGCTTACTATAAAATTTAAGACCGGTCAGAAGTCTAAACGAGACTTCCTAGAACAGTTATTCCACTCTTTCTAAACTAAAGTTTAGCTCTGAACCCTAAACTAAAGATTTGGCTCGATTCGACTTGCACTTTATTTTACATTTTATTTCAAAAAGAAAACCTTTTACATTTTCCTTTCTGAATGGTGATGATAAATGAGCTCAAATATTGAATAAAGTAGATTCGACTTTGCCTCTTAAGATTAACAAGGTTACGAAATTTCAAATATGAATAATTTGATATTCGAATTTCAACACTTATCGAAGATCATATTGAAAGGATATTATTTATTTCAAACTTCTTTACGCCTATGTATACAAACATCGCACTATATTAAATGTCCTTACGTAATTAAATCATGTCATTTTCTAAAAAAAATAAACTATAATATATTTTTTTAAGTACATATAAAAATCAATCTATATATAAAAATAATTGCTAAAACTCAAAAAAGGCTGCACGGATTTTGATGAATTTTTTTGTGTATGAACTCTGTAGGTGGCACCGTTGTCAAGATTCAGAAATTACCCGTGCTGGATATTATAAAATACTAGCTGGCCCGGGCAGACGTTGTTCTGTCTTTACGGCTATGGCGTAATGAATTTCACTCCAAATTCACAAGGAAATTTTTGAATGTAATTTTAGTTCGTAAATATATTTTTTATTAAATTAGCTACAGAGCCACCTATCGGTTCCTAGCGTAAGTATGAATCATTGTTTTGACAAAATAAATATACTATGTGTTTGTTCTGTAATCTGAGGTTGCGTGAATGTCGTCGCCATAATATCGTAGAATAGAAGTGACGACATGAAATGTCATGAAACGTAACCATATCATGATATAGCCAATTATTACTGGCCATATCGTATAAATTTCACTGCTGTCAATTCCATTAACGTTTGGTCATAATATAAATACGAAAGCAACCATCTAGTAATATCAGCGAGCGCAGGTTGAGGAGGGCCATCTCAATGCCTCGTACAAATAAGTAATTTAAACATTAGAAATAAAGTGAACTTTAAAAGTGCGCTACGCTTGTCTATATGAATCTATTTAGCGATATGACTATACAATGCTTGAATATATTTTAAGCGCCGTGTGTTTATTTTGTGTAAGAATAGCCTCCATATGATCCCGTAGGTGTCGTAGGTAGGAGATGGCCAGCAGTGTTTTCCTTATAACATTTGGAAAATTTAAAACTACGATTGCCAACCCCCTATCAACCGTGGAATCTATAGCAATACATAATATTTGGGGAGGCCAGAGTTCAACAGTGAACATTTGATTGTTTAGTTGTAAATCATTAAACGATCTCTATTCATTGATTTAGTCAAGTCATATAATGGTGATGTTCACCAACAGTGTGATATTTCATGAAGTGCCTCCATTTCACGAAATAGTTAATTACTTTATGATGAACATATTTATATAAGTATTTATTTTTTAAATATAATTAATTAAAAGATGTTTTTTATGTTTTGTGTTTTATAGTGTTCTTAATAGTTAATATTATTTGATTGTTCGACACTAGTACTTTAATTTGTGGTTTTAAGACTCGTCTCTGCTATAAAATTTATGACCTCATACACCAAGCATTTGGCAAAGATCAGCTGCCTATAATGAGTATTCTTTGTTTATGTCGAGATAAATTTTATAGACACAGGGCTACTATCAATTATATTTTCCTTTGTTTTTTTACAGATGTTAACAATAAAGTTCTAATTTGTTTTAAAAACCTAGATACGTATTATGTACACGACTTTTTTATTTATATTAAAAACAGAATATGTTTTACAAATTTCTAGATTCTAAGTTTTATTCGTTAACAATTATAAAAATGATTGTACCTTACTTGAATAAAAAGTAGCCAATAGAAAAGGGCAAAAAATATTAACTACCACTGAACTAAAAATGTTTAATAATAACTTAACTATTCAGCGCTTATTTAAAATGTTAAAGCTTTTAAAAATTTACTTCGCAAAAATCCGCTCTATAAAATAAAATGATGTGTCTTCCTAGTATGAAGAGCACCTCCCACCCTCCCTCAATTGCGTGCACTATCCCCGTTACCACTGATCCCAGCAGTTAAAAACATTTTTACGTAAGATTTCGCCACCACTTGGAAGTTATTATCTTGAATGAACGCTATGATTACTTCTAAGCGACTTTAAAAGCGTAAAGCACTATATGATAAATAAAGGCTAGGAAAAAAAATATATTTCCCCTTATAAGCTCGTAATAGTCCATGCTCTAAATAGGTCTGTTCCATTGGTGAAATCTGCCGTAATAGCCACGCTTGCTTGGTGACTATTTTATTCCCGGCGGTTTATACAGGTCCAGCAAGACCTGTGTCACTGTTCACTACTAAGCCCCATATATCAGCATGATTTATGTTATTAGTTTTCTATTAGCATTAACGGTTGTAGAAAGTTACCTTGGCTAATGCCAAATTCGTCCTATGCCTTTAAGGCCCCTCTGTAATGCCAGTCTAATATAGGAAATGGTATGTCGACATGTACGCGAAGATCTTTCTGATCTTTCTCATAGTTACCTCTTACGCCAACTACGGAATGAGACGGGGTTATTGATTCTCTTACCGCCTACTCACGGCATATTATATCTATTACAATGTATAAAACGGATTTTTAAATGTATGTAGCACCTTAAAAACTATAACCATCACGTTTACACCAGACCGACGACGGGCAGTAGCGTCAAAGAAGCGATGTCTGATACTGCAATCGCCAATCCGCCTGTCAGACGTGACGCTTAAGCCAAATTCTATCCACAATTTTAGTGGCCCTGTAGAACAGTACACTTTTATAGGTTAATGCCGATAATGATGATGACTAGGCTAGCATTACTAATACATACGTCAAAACTAAACTTTACAAAAATCTAAAAACCGACTTCAAGGGAATAAGAAAAATAATAATTTCTGTATTTCCATTTCTACAGCTTATATATTTGTTACAAAGATATAAAATAACAGAGAAACATAATTTAATTGCGCCTGCAGTCTGAGTTCTAATTAATCGATTTCGAAGTTATTAAATTATGTGGATTTTTTTTTACTTATTTTTTTGTATTTTTGAAATATGTTTTCACCTTTTTTTAAATATACTTCTCAATATCTAATGAATTATAGTAAAGTCGTACCTTTATTTAAATCTGGTAGTATATTAGACCAAGCCAATTTTACACCAATTTCTTTACTACCAACATTAAGTGACTTTTTGAAAAAAATATTTTAGATTAGACGTTAAGATTTTTATTTTATATAAATAAATTGCTTCATAAAAACCAATTTGGTTTTATAAGGGGTCGCTCGACTACCGATGCCAGAGTCGAACTTATAAAACATATATTTTGTACATGTGAGAATTCAGAGGATACTTTGGGTGTGTTTTGTGACCTTTCTAAGGCCTTCGACTGTGTTTACCATGAGACATTAATTAGGAAGCTACAGTACTATGGTGTCAAGAACACAGCGCTTAAACTTATTATTTCATATTTAAATAAGAGAATGTAGAAAGTTATTATCAATGGTAAAAGTTCTTCCGGGTCGACTGTAAAGATGGGTGTCCCTCAGGACTCGATTCTTGGCCCATTCCTATTTTTTGTGTATATTAATGACTTACCTTCCCTTGTAGGGGATAATCATGATATAGTATTATTTGCTGATGATACATCCTTGACTTTTAAACTTAAACTTAGTGAATAATGCTATACCGAAATTAGTTCATTAGTTTAAAGTTAAAAATCTGGATTTAAACTACTTTTAAACTACTATTAAATTTACAACAACGAATGTTAAAATCTGAATACCAATGTGTTTTTCAATGGGGAAAACTGAGCCCTGTTGAATCCTCTGTTTTTCTTGGCATCACTCTCGATGCAAAGCTGCAGTGGGTCCCCAATATATCCAAACCAACAAGCAGACTAAGCTCTGCAGCTTATGCTGTAAAATCTCACTAGCGTCGAGATAACTAGATTAGTTCATTTCAGTTATTTCCATAGCATAATGACTTATGGGATTTTGCTATGGGGGAATGCAGCTGATTTAGAAACCATTTTTGTTTTGCAGAAGACGGCCGTAGGAGCTATTTACAATCTTAAACCGAGAGAGTCTCTTAGAAAATTTTGTAAATAGTTTGTAATCATTTATATCGTAAAATTCATTATAATTAAAAGTCCTGCTGGGTTTTTTGCTGGTTCTGCCCAGGACAGAGAAATTTTTTGGAACCAGTGGTAAAGTAAAGAAAATGACTTTCAATAAGAATTACTTGTAATCAATATTGAATAAAAATATTCTATTCTATTCTATATATATATTTATTAATAAAATATAAATACATTTGAATTTATAACCCTCTCCTTTTTGAAGTCTACTAATAACGACTAGCTCATAAGTTACGTTCACTAACACTTATTTTGTACAAAAAAAAAGAAATAAAAGTACAATTTATTTACTACAATACTTTTGTTACAGAATGTGTAACATGTTTTACGGAAGATGAATCTGAAGTTACAAAAGTAAAGTCTGGAAGTTCATTTTATGAAGAATGTAGATGTGATGAACCAGGTCCGACAGGCGTTCATTTGAAATGGTTTGACATAAACGATCAAGAAGTAATAGCATTAGGGTAATGGTCATTAATATATTGCAACAACATTGCAACAACATTAACCATTGTTTTTAATAGTTTGTGTATTTTCCTAAAGTTAATAATTTTTATAAGACCAGGTACGAAATCGAATGTATATACGGAATGGATTGATGAAAAAGTATACGGTTTGTATATTTCCAACGTAACCAAATCAATATCTGGTGCATATAAGTGCGTGACAAACTTCAGTGGACAACAATACACAAAAGTATTTAATATTGAAGCTTACGGTACGATTCATTTAAATTATTAATTAAAATGTTTTAACATTTTAATTAATTAATATAATGAGTGATAACATAACAAATTAATTTAATCACACAGATTTACCATACTTCGTTAATACAGCAGAGATCCAGTATCTTGTTAATGGAAAAGATGAGTTAGTTATTTGTGAAGCTCGAGGTGAAACTGATCCTTTTATAAGTTGGCATAAAGATAAAGACGGTTTTATTGAGGTAAATTGAAATCTAAAAAACATATATATGAATAAAATTAGTCCATAAGTGATCGTTATGAGGTTATGACATTATAAAAGTTTAATTTTTCAGATATCAGACGATGACAAATATGAGATAGTTTCTTCAAAAGGTCTCATAATTAGAAATGTCACAAAAGAAGATGGAGGAATTTATAAATGCACAGCATCAGACCTAGAAACAGGTGAAGGAATCGACAAAGATATTAAAGTTGAGGTGATTTTAAATATTATTTTAAAGATTACATCTAAGAAGATATATTAGATTTACAATTAAAAACTTAAATCGACAGTTACTGTGTTACTGTGTCTACGATTGTTCTCATTACTGCTAGTAAAACTATAACTAATATTTAAATGTTTTATACTTAGGTTACGTACATGCCAACTTTAGATGGCCTCATAGCTACACCGGAAGCGACTGTTGTTGTTGGTGAGACGTTAACCATAGAATGTGTTGCAAAGGGAATGCCTCCTCCTGAATATATATGGAGGAAAGTCTCAGAAATGGTAAGTAAGTCACAAATTTTAAATTAGGGTATATAAATGTATTTTATCAGTATCAATTATACAAGGATTATAATTTTCAGGAACCCGCAGATGTTAATGTGACTTGGCACCAAATAACAAACACCATTGTATTCGATAGTGTTGTAGCAGAAGATAGAGGTATTTACGAGTGCACCGCTTTTAATGCTGCTGGCAATGCAACTAAAGAAATTACGATTGATGTAAATATTTTCAGCATTCAAATATATAACTTAAACTATTTAATATACGTTATCAATTAGATAAATTTTGAGGTTTGCTTTAATATACTGCGGCATGAGAAAAGAAGCGAGTGGAGCACTCCCACTCCAATCGAAAAAACTTAATCTTTATAGCATTTTAAATATGTCATATTAAATTCAATGTTTCATATTATAAAGGAGTAGTGAGAAGGCACCAAGAAACGCCTAAAATTTCTCTTCTGGCGCCTCCATATTAATTGTTACCTAAAATGTTAAAAAATCTTGAAAACTACATACTTCCACATAAAAAGCCACTAAAAGGTGCATCAGAGCATTATTGTTTATCGATTAAGACCAAAATCACAATAAATTGTGCCAGAGTAGGATACTAAAACCAACACAAATAAGGGACAAAAATGAGGTGTGTCAAAACAAAGAACGGCAAGCGCGGAAAAACACAAAACACGGTCGCTTTGACAACGAATATCATCATTATCAACTCGATTCAGGTCAATAAGTTGTTGTTAATCATAATAAGGATACTTATTACAAGCTTATGTAATTAAAATTTATTATAAAATGATGTAACCACTTTGACCGCACGATATTTTTTATTGAACCTTATTACTCCTCTTACCTTACTCTCCTCCACATTTATGCTTTATACTACAAGCAAATATCTTTATTTATAGGTACTGGTTCCACCTGAAATTACACAATTTAACAATATTACAATAATAGAAGGTGAAACCCCACAAATTATATGTAAAGCAATAGGAAGACCCAGGCCGAAAGTTTCAATGACATTTGAAGGTGGTGCATCGGATGATAACAAAGGGTATATTTCGTTTATTAATTTTATTTATTAACTCTTCATATAGACGTCGAACTCACTTAATATTTTATGGCACTTTTTACCAGTCAGCCTAATTAATCATATTTATTTATACACAAATTTTAATCTACAAAGCATAAAACTGAAGTAAAAGTTTTGATAAGCATAAACAATTGATCACACAATCATTGCTCAATAATTTTTTTTAATATCTCCTATAGAATATACTGGCACATATGGAATACAAGTGATTTTGAAACTAAATTTCAATTATCATTTAGTCAAGTCAAGAGGACACATCAGGGATCTTATATTTGTAACGCAAGTAATGAAGGTAATTGTTTTTTTTTAACTTATGAACCTTTATTCATGGAACAGGTTTGATAATAAATCATTTTTTAATACACAGTGGATTTTGCAACTAAAGAGATATACATGTCAGTATTACACAAACCATATTTGAACTCAGCCACGGAAAGTTTATGGGGCTGGAATGGAAAAATTGTAAATTTAACCTGTGAAAACGAAAGTAATCCACCTTCTCAAATTTATTGGAGGTATTTGAAATTTGTGTATACTTGAGGTAAATTAAATATTCTAATGATTTCACTTGTAAGAACAAAAACTTTATAGGTATCAAGGGAACGATATATCAACAGCGGAGCAAGTGTTAATTAATAACATGTTAGAAGAAAAAGTAAACAATACGTCAGAATACTTTATACCGTTACTTATTGACAAGCCATCTCTGTATGGAATATACGAATGCGTAGTAAGAAATGATTACGGCGAAGACACAAAAACTATTACGCTGCGAGAAGGATTCACCCCACCTTCCATTAAAAATGTAAGTTTAGTGTAATATTTTAACAGAAATAGTTACATACTTAAAATAAGAAAATTATTTTTAAATATAATATATTCTTTGTTTTTCCATACATTTCTTTTAACTTCCCATAATTTTTGTGCAAAGCTTTTAAATTTTAAACAATTCATTCCTTTTTCAATGTTCGTCCACAAATGTCTTTATGGCTTTTGTTGCAGGCCAAAAGTTTCCTTGTAAGTCATTTTTTTGTTAAATTAATAGGATCAACATTCAGACGTATTATACTTGCTCTCTTTAACCTTCCGACGAGCACAGCAGTTCACGCACTACTATTTGATGGCAGAAATAAGTAAGATGGTGAAACCTACCCAATCTAATAATTTACGTGGTAGAGCCATGCTGCAGCTATATTAGTAGTATAGTTGTAGCACTAATGGGTCGGCTCGATCGGCTAAGGACCACGCTCTCACAGAAAAACAGCGTAAAATAGCAGCTTAACGCTGCTGTGTTTCGTATGGTGAGTGTAGAGAACCGGAGACCCTTTTTACTGGCAAAGGGGCATTCCATCTTAGTCCTCACGGGTGACAACGCATCTGCATTTTGAGTCTTTATTGATGATATATGTAGATGTCTATGGGTCACAGTAACCACTTACCATCAGGTGGACTGTGTGCTCGTTTGTTCACCCTATCCTAAAAAAAAAGATGACCCTTCCAAAGATGGTGATGTTTTTCGTATTTCATTTGATGTAATACCTTCCTTTTATCCAACTAAGGCGATTTAAAAGACGAGCCTGTAGATAATTATCCTGTATATAATATATATAGTAATCGCTGCTGATCTTTATATTTCTAATCACAACAGAATTAGTTGAAGAAGTCTTATTGTGCCTAAAGGTCAGATTGGGTAGGTTTCACCATCTTACTTAACTGCTGTGCTCGTCTGAAGGTTAAAGAGAGCAAGTATAATACGTCTGAATGTTGATCACTGTAATCTTTATTATGTATTTCCTAAAATATTTTATCTATAAAAATGTTGTTATGTAGAGCTAGGATGCGCGTCGAAGATTTCAAATAGTATGGGCTTTCTCATAATTCACATACGTAAGAAAAAGTGGTAGATTATATTCTTCGGCCTTTTAAAGATATATCGGTGTATATAATAGACCCTAGTATCCGATATTAATTTTACCTGATACCCCAAGTATTTTTCTGTGAATAACGACCAAATCTGGTGGCTAGACAGACGACAGCTAACAAAGTCGTCCCTTAAGCTTTCTTTATTTCCATTATTTGGTAGCTCTAAAAATTAAAATTCTTATCATTTCAGTAACTTTACATCTACACGGTCATTAAGGAGTATGTTAGAGATGAATCTGAATGGCAGAGTGACAAATTGTGTGATAAGAGAAGAGTGTGGTTTGCAAGATGATGTTGAGACCAGGATTAAGCAAGGAATGCTTCGGTAGTTTGGTCATGTAGAAAGAATGAATGAGGAAAGAGTGACAAAACAAATTTATGTTGCAGAGCTGAACGGCAGAGTCGGGAAGGGACGCCCTAGGCGAAAGTTTATCGACCAAATTGGCGATATATTGAAAATGGGCCAAATCAAGAGTACCTTTAACCGACGAGCGTGTATGCGTAGGTATATAGATGTGGAGGAAGTGAGAGAGGTATGTCAGGATCGTGCCAAGTGGAAGTCCATAGTCTATCGGAATATCATAGAAGTATAGTTACATAGTCTACACCTCTGGGTGACAGGCGTGAGTGTTTATGTTATGTTTACATCTACAATAGAATGTATTGGATAAAATAGAATAGAATATGAATTATGGGTAAATCAGGAATGTCTAGAACAGGTAAATGAAATTGTATACTTGGGGAGTGCTTTTAGCCGGGATGGAAGATGTGATTTAGATGTGGACAGGCGTGTCGCTGCCGGGAACAAAGTCAATGGTGCCCTGACTGCGTTAGTCAAAAGGCAAGGCGTAGTGAAGAGTGCACGCCTTGCAATACATAACGCAGTGTTCGTACCGACTTTGTTATATGGCAGCGAAACCTGGGTATGCCAGAAGAAGCATAAAAGCAAGTTGAATGCAGTGGAGATGAGATCTCTTCGTAAAATGTGCGGCGTTACCATGGCCGACCGAAAGCGAAATGAAGAGATTCGCAATATGGCAGGTTTGAAAGATGACCTTATCACAAAAATTGATAAGGGCGTGCTTCGGTGGTTTGGGCACGTTGAGCGAATGAGTGAAGACCGAATGGTGAAGAAATATATAGCGCGAAAGTTAATATTAAAAGGTGTCGAGGTAGACCGAGACTAACTTTCGAAGACCATGTGAGCAAATTGCTCGAAGAGGGTAGGGTTAAGAGTACTCGGATACCTAGACGTGCATGTATGAAGAAGATAATGAACCTGAAAGAAGCGAAAGAGGTATGTAAGGATCGTGACACTTGGCGATCTGTTCTCTCTGGCTACCCTGTCAGGGATTGTACGTGAAGATAAGTAATATGATAGGACGTGGGATATGGTAGGAGTGATTTCAACAATTTCAAACTTGAACCGAGTTCCTGCGTTTTGTATTTTTTTTTCATAAATTGATTACTATAAAAACTAACCTTTTAAAAAAATACTAGAATTACTAAAATTGTCCAGTTATAACGCTATATCAGATATCCAGAAAACAAATTTAACGAACATAAAAATAAAATAAAAAACATACAGCCATAACCACAACCTTTCTTAAACATCCCATAAAATTAAAATCAGTACAGATTGGCAGGACGAAACAGGGATATACAGAATTCGTCAATTTTTCAAAGGTTACCTAGGTCCAAGTTGCAGTTTTCCGCATTAGTTTCCTAACTCTATTGTTTGGGGACAGCGCGAAAGTAATAGATTGTCATAAAACAATTCGTTAAATTTCTTGTGGTCCTCTTAAAATTTTAGGTAAAATTTCGATATACTATTCTAAGTATTCATTGGTAATTCTTTTAATAATAACCCTGCTGCGAATAGACTAAAGGGGGTTTTATTTATTAACCGTTTTGATTTAAATGAACCCAAGTGCCGGTGAAGATTTGCTTAGCAGTGACAATTAACTAAACTCAGGTCATTGAGCTCACAAGTAGCTGCTTTTGATTTTGTGAGCTCTCCGTGGTGCTGGCACGTGTCAGCAAATCTGCCACATTTTATCATCATAAAACAAAATGTGCGACATGTTTTATAAAGAGGCCCTTTGATACAATAACATGATATTTTTAAGAATTCCGTGTTATAAAATAGCCGAACCGAAACCTTTTTGACGTATTTGGTCTAATGGTCTACCGTCATGGCCGTTTTAATCAGCGATTATTGACGAGGTATTGACTGCAAATTAATCAAAATTGTAGAACTTATTACACTGTACTAAGGTATCTTTGTGAAAGAATTTCATATAAATATGGTCATTTTTTAAAATGGCTGGGCTTAAAGATGCAACAGGATACATTTTTTTTTCCTGTATTTTTGTAATGCATACTTTAAGGCCCAAAAATGTCAAAAGAATTACCGCTCCATTGAAGTTTTCGAAAACAATGTTTTTATCCCCAGTTTATTTTTTCGTATCATCTAAGTGTAAATTTTTACTTTACTCGTTAAGTTTTAAAATATCTTACTGAACGAAACGAAGTTTACGAAAGTTTGTAATGAAATAATACCTTGAAAGTATAAACATATTATCTATATTATTTCTATTTGAGTAGTAATAAAGTTGAAATAGACAGAAAGCTTTAAACCGAGTAAATCAACAACTTACTTGACTTTAAAACAATTGAAGAAATTGATCATATGCAAAGTACAAACGTAGTCGCGGGCACAGCAAGTAAATAATTTATTTAACAATTTTTAGGTCACTATACTTGAAATAACTTCAACATCGGCAACCTTCGCTATTGTGGGACCTAATGAAGTAAATGGTCCGCCTGTAATTGGTTTTACGGCTGAATATGACGAATCAAACAACTACGATATCACCGACATTCATATCAATAGAACTTGGTCGATAGATAGACCGTACAAAGTGGACAAATTGAAACCAAATACAACGTATTATATCAAGTTTGCAGCTGTAAACGACGTCGGTGCGGGGCCGTGGAGTGAAAGTTTGGAATTTATTACCCTCGAGACGTAAGTTTTAATAAATTTATGCTTTGCACCTACCTTTTACTTATAACTACACACTAAGTGGAGTTTTACTTGATTCCACCATATGAACTTTTTTACAGAGTTAAAACGGTAATAATTATATGTATATAATATAAAAATAAAATAATTATCATCTAAGTACATAGTCTGTAAGAGGTGTTCTAAAAAGTGTTCTCCCTACAACGTGAAATGCCCATGTCAAGCAGTAGATTTTAACGAACTGATGAAGAAACAGAAGACTAAGAAAGTAAATAATGTAACAAAAGCGAGGATTTTAAATCTATTCAAGGTTAATAATCAAACTCATTCATATGCGACTATCAGGTCAGACTGCGTGTTACTTAGGCTCGTGCCAAACAGACGGTTCTCCAGCCAAACTACCGTCGGAATCCGCTTCCAAACCTAGAAACCTAAAAAGTCCTCCAAATTAAACTGCGCAGTTTTCAGACATTGATAAGCGGAAGCAAGTCAACCGCCGCACGCAGCTTAAACACGCTGCTAATAATTGTTCATTCAAAGAACACTGCGGCGTGTACCAGATGTTGATCATTCTGCTGTGGCTTCTATGCGACTATGAGTAACATAAATTTTCACCTACGTACTGCACTCTGTTTTATTTTTCAATTACTTATAAAACAAGTGCTGTAAGAGCAGTAATCTTTGCAAGAGATTATTGGAATCTTATGTTTATGTTATGTATTTTATCACATCTATCACGGGGAGTGCTCTGAGGAATTGTTTGGACTAATTCCAGCCGCTCAATTTCACCATCGCACATCGCGACAAAACTCGCGTTACCATCCATACCATCTGAATGATTGGCGGTCCACTACTGTGCGATTTAGAAGAAGGTTTTTCCCTCGCACAACTTCCTTGTGGAATCAATTACCACCAACGAATTTTCCGGACCGATACGACTTAGGAACCTTCAAGAAAAGAGCTTACACCTTTCTAAAAGGCCGGCAACGCATCTGCAATTCCCCTGGCGGTTGTTCATGGGTGGCGGTAGTCACTTACCATCAGGTGAGCCGCATGCTCGTTTGCCCCCTCTTCTATAAAAAAAAATGCTTTTACAAATTTTTAAAGAAATATTAAAATTAGATCTAATGCATTTTAGAACACTTCACACTTACACTTATCATCTGACAATAAGCAGCAAATAATATCTTGCTAGTCGGTTTTTATGACAACAACATTCTAAATAATATTCCAAGAAATTAATTAGGCAGGATGCGTATTTAAAATTCGCGTTTAGTACGTGCCTGCCGCGGTGACGTATTAAAATAGCATTTTCATTTGGTAAATACGAGTAAGCACCTAGACGTGCTACTCCAAATCAGCTCCGAGAGTAACAGACTTCAATGGTCTCCGCCATCAGCATACCGCTCTTGTCTTTCCACTTCGTTACGCATTTAAATGCAATATGAAACCTCATCTCATATAATATGTCAACCTTGAGTTACGTATTAGCTTAGAGTTTCTATTACTTAATGCATATAATATTCATAAAATGCTAAAAAAACCAGTTTGAAATTTTAAACACGTTTATTGTATGGACATTATACTACTTCAGTTTCTAATTGCTAAATGGAGTTGATATAAATAATTTTAGATATAGGACAGTGCAGAGTTAGGGCAGTGGAGTAGCGTGCCTTAGAGGGGCCCAGTATCAAAATTTGTCGGGGGGCCCAAATGAAGGATAAAGATTTTTCACAAAAGGAACAAAAACTCTCGCATTGAATTAAAATAATTATATATTGATTATAAGTTATTACTTACAATGAATACTCATAGGAACTAAGCTAGCCAAACAATTCAAACCAACATCGTGTCCCATAGAAGTCCTTAGAATGTTTGCTTACATACGTTCGGGGCCTCTGTAACCCAGGGGCCCCGTATCATTGATACGGCTGATACGGCGGTAGCTACGCCCCTGGATATGGGAAGCACACGATATAAGTGCTAGATGCTAGTATGAGCGCAAGAAAAGAAATAAATGACTCGTTTCAACGCCGTGAAAAATTGATGACTCAAAAAACTGGGTATAGAATTAAATGAAGTGTCAGAAATTAAATGATGTTTGTATACGACTCTGACTAGGGTTCGAATCGAGATGAGCACTTTATTATCAGGTTCTTAGAGATTACGCCAACACGATTCAATTAAAAGCTTAGCAGTATAGTCATACTTTGCTGTTATGACTATTGTTCCAACTTGCAGCTAAATGAAGTCATTTACAAAACAGAAATGACTTAAATACAATTTATCTCCATGCAATCTATACATATAATAAAAATGTAAATAGCAGATGTCTGTACATTTTATATTTTTGTAATAAAAGTGATTGAGAGGTACTAAAAATAAGTAATTAAATACATTTCTACCATTTTTAGATTTTTCTGTCTGTCTGTCTGTCTGTCTGTCTGTCTGTTTGTTTGTTAACGTATCACGTATAAAGTACTAATTTATATCATAAGAATAGTTAAGGAAATTATTAAGTGTATATTCAGGTTACATTTAGTCTTTATTTCATTAAAATTGGTTAATTCCATCAAAAGTTATGACAAATATTCTGAAGTATGGGTACTAAGTATAGGTACGAATTTGTTCAATAGTGGCGTTGGATGAGTCAAGTACATTTTAAAATTAATATCATTTATTATAAATCATAATTAAATGATGTAAAATAATGTTCTATAATGATATACTTATATCTAAAACGCAGTAAACAAAAGTATTACATAAAGAACGTAATAAATATATACAAAATATATTAACCTTATTATCTAAACTAAATTAAAGTACAATAGTTAACCAATTTCATCGATAGATGGTGGTGTAGCATAAATGTGATACAAAAAGGCAGAAAAAAATTTTATTCCTGTAGTTGAGTTTCATATTTGCTTCTAACCTTTATATTAATGACACGTTGCCCTACTGCGTGTTGACAATGTCATTTATTTTTTATTTTTTTACCGCCGAGTACTCTATGTGGTAAATCAAATTTTAAGAGCTATTAACAATTTCGTTTTTCGGCGAGGATCAAACTTTCTTTTTTGCTTACTATGCAGGCACTGATTTATAAGTTCTTTTATGTTTTTTATTATATCAATCGTGTGAATTAATCTCTTATTTTTAGAATTGATGTTAACAGCGCCATCTCTCTTAAATCTATAGATATAATAAAAATGGTAATAACATGTTATGTCTGTTTCTGAATATTGTATAGTATATTAATTTGTAACTAAAATCATTATGGGGACTGTAAATCATTAAATAAGTACATTTTTATAATTTTTAGAATTGTACTATCTGACGGTCTGTCTGTTTGTTTATGGACGCATGACGTTTTGAGTAAACATCTTTTTTTTCAATGAAATCCTTAAGAAAATCATAAAGCGTATTATCAAGTTCATTTAATCTTTGTTTTATTGAAATTGGTTAATTCTATCGAAAGTCATGATTATTATTTTGAAATGTAGGTTCGAATTTGTTTAATGGCGCCACAAAATCCCAGAAATAGTAATAAAAAGATACGTGTGTAAAAAAAAACCTTCTATTATAATATATTTCGTATCGTTCTATTATAGTACTTAAAACACAGTAAAAATATGTTTTCCTTAATTTAAAAAAGGATGTTTTCTCACAAAGAACGTAATAGATGGCGTTGTACAAATTACAACCTTTTCTGAATTGCGGTGTTAAGATTTTTCGCAGGTGAATGGTATTGAGACTCACTGTAATAATTTATGTCCATGAGTCTGAGAAAGTTGCAATCCTGTAAGGTATACATACAGAGGTATTGAAATATTTAATTATTCAACAAAACTTGACTAAAAGTAGCAAAATTGCAATAAATGTCATGATAGTGATATTGCTTTATACCCAGAATCCCTCTAATACCAGATAACTTTTTTTTCAGTTTTAAGTAAAGTAAAGTTGCAGCCTATTTACGTCCCACTGATGGGCACAGGCCTCCTCTCATTTCTGAGAGGGTTTTAGGGCAAGGAAATGTCCACCACGCTGCCCCAATACGTGTTGGCGAACTTCACATGTCATCGAAATATTTTTTTTTATTTCTCAAACATGCAGGTTTCCTCACGATGTTTTCCTTCACCGCCGAGCACGTGGTAAATCAGCACTTAAAATTGCAATTAACAATTTCATTGGTGCCGGCGGGGATCGAACCCGGGTTGCTCGAGTACTGTGAAGCTTACAGCGAGCGCTAACCATCTGAGCTACCACGGCTCAGGCTTCAGTTTTAAGATAGGGATAATAACATCGATGTTGGCATCGCTAGCTCAACATCGATGTTCGATGTTTTGGCTACTCAAAACATCGATGTTGACCATTATCGATGGTTTTTGTATATGTGTAGATACTTACACATTGTTTTAAAATTATGTGGATATACACAGCAAGGGAAAAGTAACAATTAACTTGAATATCAATTTATGTAGAATAGTTATTATGCGACAACCGACAACGACACTACAAAATAAAGCGAAAGCAGTGACCATTGTGACATTACAGGAGACACTTGACAATTAAGTTTGACTCACCATACTGACATTTTTTTAGATTAACGATGCGTTCAGAAATTCTGAATTATTCAAAATTTTTAATCTTCAGAGCAAATGCAAGATTTAGTTGATATTGATTTCGCGAGTTCGCATTGTTTGCAAGTTCTCAATTATCGATTATGGGTTCATTGACGTCGATGTTTCGATGTTTGATATATGTCAACATCGATGTTAAAACATCAAAGTTTTAATTTTTAACATCGATGATCATCTAACATCCCTATTTTAAGTGTGTTTCCCACTCAGCGTGTGTTATGCGACGATCGTAAATAAAGCGCAAGGTCAAACTTTACGCGTCAGTACTGATTGTTTTGCACATGGCCAGCTCTATATTGCTTTTTCTCGCGTTAGTAGTCCCCGTAACCTTTTTCTGTACGCCCGGGCTAAGTCTACTTCTATCGTCGTTTACACAGAAGCTCTAGCATAAACGACTTAGAACTTTGAGAATATCGATTTATTTTGTTACCACTTATTCATAGAGTAATGATATAAATCGGTTAATATTCTCTTACCCTAAACGTCAAATTCTTTAAGTAAAACCTATATTCGCGAGCTACGCCGCGGGCACAGCTAGTTACAAATAAGATACGCCTGCACGTTATTAGCTTTAATTGAATTAATTAAATGAAATGTTTGCAAGGTTCCGTTAGTAAAATTCTATATTAACTTTTTGTTTTATATTCAAATTCTTATTGCTTCTTGATATTATAATAAAGTAATTAAATTTACTAGTATTTTTTCTTTCATAATTCTGTTTATAACGAATAATATCACTGCAGATATGAAATTACAGTTTAGTAGGTATTAGGTTAGTTGGGGAAATGCTTTCCTACATAAAGTTGTAATAGTACACCGCTTAATTATAGGCTTTTAGTGTGCAATTATGTTTAATTCCATTCAGAGAGATTTTTATAAATACTGAACGATTATAGGATATATAAATTAATTAATGAGGGATAATAATTTTCTGCGCACCAGATTTTGCTAGTTGACACTGAGGTAAAGTTTCTTGTTACTTACACATTGTAATTTAATTGAGAAGTTGTTTTTTAATAAAAGTTTATTACAGTAGTAGTATTACAAAAAGAAACAATAACTTTTACATTTTCCGAACAAATTAACCTACCCACTATGAAATCTGTCAAATATTATACCTCACTTTCTAGTGGCGCCGCCCTGGTGGCAGAAAAAATCGTGGATCATTATACAATTTCAAAAGTACTTAAAAAAGGTAGCACGTAATACTTTTTAAATTCTTCATTCTAATTAAATCAAATTGCAAAATATATAACAATGCAAAATATATACTGATAGCAGCAAAGAGTTGGTAAAGAGTATATTATCACTACATTTTAGATAGCAGTTAAAACTTAATAATTCTTAGGTAGTATTTTATGCGATTGAATGTCATAGCTTTATTAAAACAAAATATTTTCATAAGATAAATGAGGAGACCTTTGTGGGAGCTGTTTGCAGATATCATTTTGCTCTATGTAAATTAATAGGTGAGATTGTTAAAGCGTAAACTTTTATTGTAATTTGTTAAAGAAAATTGACATTAAATTTTCACTTTGTATTTTTGTAGACCTGTTACATTATTATACGAAATGTTTTTTTAATAAGTGTCACAATCGAGCACACAGTCCACCTGATTGTAAGTGGATGCTGTGACTCATAGATATCTACATCTATCCTAGATTAAGAATCAAAATACAGATACATAGCCCAACTGAGGATAAGGATGGAACGCCTCGTTTCTCTAAACTCATGATACGAAACACAGCAGCATTAAGTACACTTATTACTCATACCCTACTATCATACCACAACTATTATCAAATAGTAAAGATTTATCTTATCTTTTTTTATATGATAAGGGTGACAAACGAGCACACAGTCCACCTGATGGTAAGTGGTTGCTGTGGCCCATAGACATCTACATCTATCCTCTATTACAAATCAAAATGCAGATGCGTTTTCACCCGTGAGGACTAAGATGGAATGCCTCATTTCCAGTAAAAAGGGCCTCCGGCCACCTGCACTCACCAAGCGAAACGCAGAGGTAAAGCTCTAATTCACGCTGGTATTCTGTGAGGTCGTGGTACCACCCCGGTTCGAGCCGGCCCTTCCGTGCGATAGCAAGAGCTGCCACCTGACCCTACCACTGTTAAAAATCTATATTCCTTGTAAACCTTGACCAACCTTTTAAGAGATTATTTATGTACTATAACATATTTCTTATAGATCCGCCACCGACCCTCCAGAATGGGATGTAGAATCAGAATCTTTAATAGCGGCAAGTAACAAGCAAGTTCTTAGCTGGAAGATTCCTGAATATACTGAAGAGCCGATAGATTACTATGCTTTACGTTATTGTCCGGTAAATATATATTTTTTGTAAATTTAAAGGTAAAGTAACATCCTACCTTAGGAAATCATAGAAGGCCGATAATAATTTCTTAATGGGTTATCAGAGCAGGGAAGACTACGCCTCGCTTTCAGAATGAGTGCTTGCGGACTTCGCAAGTCCTTGAATATTTTTATTTTTACATACATGCATTTTTTAGACCCACGTTGGCTTCTTGGCACTTAACATTGCAATTAATAACTTGATAACGATAAGAATCGGACTCGAAAGACCAAATTTACAGTTATATGTTATTATTTTTAACTATTTTGTAAAGTGATGTTTATCTGGGGTGATATAAAAAATGAAGAATTATTGAAATATGTGAGCATGAAGCTTAAGTAAGTTTTTTTCATAAAATGATTAATCGTAACTTTTCATAAGAAATAGGACATTGAGAACCATTTGCAAACTTCTTTGCATTTTGAATTTCTTTCAAAAGATGAAAATATTCTCATATAAATATTATTCGACAGATATCAATAACCGTACTCCTATTTTACCAATCCTAATAGATGTGTGACATGTATCATAATAACAGAATTCAACTTTATCAAGGTCATTTTTTATATTTTTCTAGATGATGAATAGTATAGTTCAAGATGATTTATGCCAAGAAGAAATTATCAAATCCAACGAATTTGAATTAACAGATTTTAAGTATAACACAACATACTCTTTAGAATTAATTGCACATAACCCTCAAGGCAATTCATCTGCTTCACGTCTTTATGTTATAATGCCAGGTAGGTATTAAATTTTTTGTTATATTTTAGCTTTAACTTTAGTTCTAAAACACCTTAAGATAGAAAAGATTTTATTCATATTATAATCAATTGGCTAGTTTGAAGAACTGACAACCGATAGAGAAGAGAGGTTACGGCAGCCCCGTACCGGCAAGCGGATTGTGCCCCGCACTAGATGGAGTGGCAACCTTTTTTTATAGGATTTGGGTGACAAACGAGCACACAGTCCACATGATGGTAAGTAGTTGTTTCGACCCATAGACATCTACATCTATCCTCTATTACAAATCAAAATGCAGATGCATTGTCACCCGTGATGACTAAGATGGAATGCCTCATTTCCAGTAAAAAGGGTCTCCGGTTCTCTACACTCACCATACCAAACACAGCAGCATTAAGCTGTTATTTTACACTGGTATTCTGTGAGAGCGTAGTCCTTCCCCGGTCGAGCCATTCGTGCTACAACTATACTACCAATATAGCTGCAGCATGGCTCTACCACGTATAAACCACGCTAAGAGATGCAGAAAGTTAATGCATGCATCGAACTACCCTGCAATTTGCTTAATGCTTATATGATCTTGCCCGTTTAGCTTAGTGATCCGTTGGGTTATATCAGTTAGTCTGGTTCTACTGCAGATGTCCTCAGATCTAATTCTATATTGCAGGGAAACTCAGAGCCTAGCTCGATAAGCGACCTTAAGCTTCCATAGCGACTAACACTAAAATACTACTTCTCAAATCAATATTATGTTATCTCTCACAACACATGTACATACCCAGTAAAATAATTTCACAAAAATTATGTTTTGATTTTCTAGCGGAAGATTTATCACCGATGTTGTCAGCTGGTGCTTTTATAGGTTTATCAGTAGTAGTGGTCTTCATTTGTTTATTGCTGCTCGATTTACTATTCCTGCTTTGGCGGCGGCAAGGAATTATGGCAAAGTGCTGTTATAAGAAAAAGAATAAGAGAACAGAAGATAGTCTTAGATCACGGTGAGAGTTTGTTGTAAATTGTTTCGTTTAGTTTTGATGTGATGTTTTTGATACAAAAAGACAAGTGACTATTTCGAACCGACTTCAAAAAGGAGGAGGTACTCAATTCTACTGTAAGTTTTTTTTATGTGTGTTGTCTCATAGCTTATTTCTCGGTGAATCGATTTCGAAGATTCATTTTTTATTTGAAAGCTGGTGTTTCCCATGTGGTCCCATATAAATTTGATCAAGGTCTGACCAGTAGTTTTTGATTTATCCTTAATAATTTATATTGAAGTCCTAGTAGTATCTAGCAATTTTATATTTATTTATTATTTATTTTTTATTAATACTTCAGAAAAGAGGAGATTTTAAATTTATTATAAAATAGAATAGAAAAGAATATTTTTTATTCAATATAGATTACAAGAACATATTAAAAGTAATTTAAGTTACCACTGGTTAGAAAAAAAACCCTTTGTACTGGGAAGAACCACCAAGAAACATAATTTACAATATTATATTTTATACAATTAGTATGAAAACATTTAGAAACAGCATGGTATCGATCGCCCCATTCCCAGGGGTTATTCGACTGTATGTTATTTTTGTATGTTACGCGATATCTTTGCTAATTGTAAACCGATTTTAATAACATTTTTTTTTACTAATGGGCCATATTTAATCACTTTAGGCGTTACCTTGAGCTTGTGATATTCCTGAGTCTACTCAAATGGTCAAATATTTAAATTTCTGTTAAAAGTGAAAACCGGCTTCAAGAAACTAAAAAGAATAAAATTATTTGTGAAGTCGGAGGCATTAATTCTTCGGTTCACTGTCTTAGCACCGCCATCACAACATAATTATAATTTTCTTCCTTCTTGACACCGCGAACTTCCCGAGTGCGGACTGCTACTAAAAATTTCTTGTTAGAAAAACCCAAAAAATGATTTTGACCCGACCCGGGTTCGAACCCAGGACCTAATGAGATTATCAACCGCGTAAACGACCACTAGGACCAACGAGACAGTCAGTTGAAACTAAAAAAAAATATAATTAAATCGAAACTTTTAAATGATGATGACACTCTTAACCATCTGCGTAACAAACGAGTTGAATGTAAATTCAAGAAAAACAACTTCCTTCTGCGTGAATCCCATATCTCTGGTGCCCTTTGACCTACAGGACCCAAATTCAAACTAGGCCGAGCTACTACCTCAAGGTATCCACATACCAAATTTAAAGTCAATCGATAAAGTGGAACGGAAGTTATCGTGTCGGCATACAGACTAACAGACTGCCAGCTAAAACCATTAACTTCCTTTCAATGCTACGCAGAAGGAAGTTAATAAGTACACCTAAGTCTTAACTAGCGACATCTGGTGAGCGTAAGATTATTAGCCCTAATTAAAAGACATTAATTTCCAAAGTGTATTACTACGAGATATAAATATAATTTTTATTTAAAGGGATAAAAAGGGTCTCCTTAAAAGCGGCGAATCGACTTCAGGTGAAAGTATGAAGAGACCGAGCAATGGACATAAAGAATACGAATACGACAAAACCACTGGAGTCATTATTGGAAAACATTCAGCAGTTTGAATACCTACTTCATACGACGTTTACCGAAACGTATGAAACGGACACATAAATATCTATGATAAAATAGTTTTAAATTTCGATTTAAGTCCTAGATTACGTGAAGACCAAATTGATTACATTCTTGTAAAATTAAGTAAAACTTAAGTTATATCTCTTTTTTTTTACTTTAGTAGAATATTAATAAAGAATATTTTCTGCGAATTAAACAACATTTATATATTATTTATGTTTCACAAATTGTTGTGAAACATAAATAATATATAAATGTTACACACATTTATCAACTGTTTTTATATTCAAAGGTGATAAGTTAAATAACATATTATAATTATTCTTATTTATTTTTTTTAAATTTGAAAAATGTAACACTATAACTCAGGGTATTTATGCCGGACTTATTTCTATGTGGAATTGTCTGTCAATCAAACCTGAGTGTTAAAGATAAATATTGGTACGTGAAAATATTAGAATGACAACTATCAGTCCTGAGACGGTCTACCGTCGAGAATGACTTATTTAATACATTATAATAGTGTGAAGTACTGCTTGAATAATTTGAATATGTGTTATATTATACGAATAATTATACACAAACACATTATTTAAACACAAATATATTGATTAAAAATAATATTTATACTAATTTCACTGTAACTAAATGATGGAGGTCTGAATACCTGTAACTCAACCTTAGTTAAAAACCTACTTCATATCAGGCATCGAGTGATCCACAGCATTTTTATAGATAGTTATAAAAGAACAATAAATTAATTTTTACAATTTATAATAACACATATTCATATTAATTTATGCACAATTATTATGAAAATGTAAATATACAAATAATATTAAAAACGCACAAATAGATTTTTTACATATTTAATATAATTTTAAACCGTTAGACTTATGTTGTGTTGTTTATATTGTTATGCGTAACTTACTATTAATTATTATAATTTTATTTATCGTTCACCAAAGATTTTCATTGTGTTTTTATAATTTATATACAGATTTATAGTTTTTAAATGTGTTTTATTTAAAATAAATTAAGATTTCGTACCCGTAAATTCCAATAAGTTCTTTAAAGGTATAATGTCCTCTAGTGTCCTCCTTTCCAATTTTGGTTACTTAAATCAACGGAGTGTAGCCTTCAGCACAGGACAGGATTTAAAGTAGACGAGTGCGTCCGCAAGCAAAGATGTACTCTCTATTCTCTCACTCTCATAGTCCGATGGGACAGCGATCCAATATGACTTGAGAGAGATCAAATGGAATACCAACGGCTTCACGTGTTTTTCGAGGCACGGGTGTAAAACACCGCCCATTCCTTGACAGATGAAAACGCGGTATGTCGAGAAAACTGATTTTAGCCCGATTTGAACCGGGGCAACATGATCTGCAGTCACACGACCACGCTAGACCAATAAGGTATTTGAAATGTATTATAGAGGTGATGATCAACTGAAATTGTTTTATCACACATAGAGCGTAACAATGATGCGGTGCAAAACTTTTGGAAAACTGCGAAGAACTAAAGGAAACTAATTAAATACGAATACTACATCTGTACATTACCATTACAGCCTACCAAAAGTTCACTGCTGAACATATATTACCTCCCCATATATTACCCAATAGGAAGTATATTTGCCACAGTTGTCACGCTTATCAATTGTGACATCTGTTACAGATGTCACAATTGATAAGCGTACAAATATCCTACCTACAGATGATCTGTAGGTAGGATATTTGTATATTATGCTGCATTCCACGTTGACGAAAAACACGCCATTTTTGTCATAATAAAGACATTGCCTATATCAAGTCTAAGAATATACTTCATTGTATAAAATAAAATGTCTTTTGAATACACATTTTTTATATTAATGAAGTGAAAAACGAAAACACAGCCGGTCTGATGGTAAGGGCCTACTGTGGTCCATGGACATAAGTAACACAAGCATTCCTTAATTTTTAAGGTAATTTCTTAAAATACATACATACATACATACATATAATCACGCCTCTTTCCCGTAGACCCCTACGGGAAAGAGGCGTGATTATATGTAGGCAGAGACCAGTTCTTTCCACTTGCTACGATCCTTACATACTTGTTTTGCTTCGTCCACTTTCATTATTCCCTTCATACATGCTCTACGGTTTAGGGTACTCTTGACCTGACCTTTTTTCAAGACGTCCCTGATTTGGTCTAGAAATGTCCGCCTAGGTCTACCCCTTCCAACACTTTCATTCACACTCGCCTTATACACTTTTTTTCGTCAATCATTCTTCATTCATTCTCTCGACATGGCCAAACCATCTCAGCATACCTTTCTCAATTTTTGTCACTACATCTTCTTTCAATAACAATGATCAAATTAAGTTACTATGATCGGTGAATGCAAATGGCAAAGGACCATGTTTTATGGCATTCCTAAGGGGAGACCGATATTAAGTGATGGACTTTTAAAGAGTCAGCAAGGTGACCAAATGAAAATTTCGAAATAAAGCAACAATAAAAAATATTTTCACATCCAAATAAATATTTATGACTTTGTTGGATTCTTTATAGAATGAGGGTAACAACCGATCACACGGTCCATCTAATGGTAATGGGATACTTTAACATGTCAGGACTCTCATGACACCTGCATCTATCCTCGATTAAGAATGAAAATGCAGGTGAACCTTCACAGGGGCTATACCCTGTGAATTACGTTGGAAAGCATCGGTATCAGTTAGAAGGGTCTCCGGCTCATTCAAAACACAGCTTCTTTAAGCTATGTTTCATAGATAGAGCAAGCATTCCCATTATTTTTATAGAACACTATTTTATTTAAGCGGCTACCTCGATTGGCTTTGCAGTAACGCCCTGTCAATCCAATTCTGCAAGACTCTGACGAAGTAATATAGAACTTAAACCATTTGAAGATACGTGAGTGGTAGCCAGACGAAAAGGACTCCTATCACATAGTAGATTTAAGTTATAAATGGAGAATACCACAACTGGTTTATCACGTGTACCCACACTACCGCTTGGCGGTAATGAAAAACATCTTGAGGAAACCTGCATGACGGAGAAATTAAAAAAATGTTCGAAAACATGTGCAGTTCGCCAATACGCATTAAAGCGGCCCGGCGAACACTTTCTTGACCTTAATTTCTCTTAAAAATGAGAGAAGGTCTGTGTCCAGCTGTGGAATGCGTAATGGCTGTATTTTAATTTTAGTAAAAAAGTTTCGTCACGCATAAGCATCGGAATCCTCGACTTCGACATATCGAGTAGTGTGCAGTTTTGTTATCACTTGGAAGGGAAGGTCAAATTGGCCTCTAAAAAGCTTGGCGTACTCAAACGAGCGGGACATTATTTCATGTCATTTTACACGTGGTATCATCATCATCATCATCATCATTACAGCCCTTCACAAGTCCACTGCTGAACATAGGCCTCCCCCAAAAAATGCCACAAAGCACGGTCCTGAGCCACCTGCATCCATCGACTTCCTGCATGTCTTACCAGGTCGTCACTCCATCTCGTAGGGGAACGCCCTACACTTCGCGTACCGGTACGAGGCCGCCACTTGAGAACCTTTCTTCCCCATCGGTTGTCGGTTCTTCGAGCTATATGGCCGGCCCACTGCCACTTCAGCTTACTAATCCGTTGGGATATGTCGGTTACTCTGGTTCTACTGCGGATATCCTCATTCCTAAGTTTATCACGCAGAGAAACTCCGAGCATAGCCCTCTCCATAGCACGCTGAGCGACTTTGAGCTTTCTCATACGGCCAGCAGTGAAGGACCACTTCTCATTTCCGTAAGTCATCACTGGCAACACGCACTGGTTGTACAATTTCGTTTTAAGGTTTTGAGGTATGTCTGACGAGAAGATGTGTCGTAGCTTCCCGAACGCTGCCCAGCCGAGTTGAATCCGTCGATTGACCTCTCGGTCGAAGTTGGACTTACCTAGTCGGACTATTTGTCCCAGGTAAACATACTCGTCAACAACTTCGAGCTTAGTGTTCCCAACAACTACCGGCATAGGTGTGACATGGACATTAAACATGATCTTTGTTTTGTCCATGTTCATCTTAAGACCTATCCGCTGGGAAACACTATTGAGGTCATTGAGCATAGTGCTTAGGTCCTCCAGCGATTCTGCCATAAGGACTATATCGTCGGCAAATCGAAGGTGAGTGATGTACTCGCCATTGATGTTGATACCGTATCCTTTCCAGTCCAGAAGCTTGAAAAACTACGTGGTATGCTGCAGCTATATTACTGGTATAGTTGTAGCACGAACGGGTCAGCTCGACCGGGGAAGGACCACGCTCTTACAGAATACCAGCGTAAAATAGCACCTTAACGCTGCTGTGATTAGTATGGTGAGTGTAGAGAACCGGAGACCCCTTTTACTGGAAACGAGGCATTCCATCTTAGTCCTCACGGGTGACAACGCATCTGCATTTTGATTCGTAATCGAAGATAGATGTAGATGTTTATGGGTCACAGCAACCACTTACCATCAGGTGGACTGTGTGCTCACTATCACATCGCTTACAACTTTACAAGGCGCAAGGTTGGCCTCACGTGGAATACTGTTCTCATCTCTGGGCTGGATCACCCAAGTACCAGCTCCTTCCACTTGACCACATCCAGCGCAGAGCGGTTCGAATCGTCGACGGCCGAGTTATTTCTGATCGGCTCGATTCACTGGCGCTGCGTAGGGATGTTACATCCCTTTGCATTGTCCATCGCATCTACCACGTGGAGTGCTCTGAGAAATTGTTTGGAATAATTACAGCCGCCAAATTTCACGAACACACACCGCGTCAAAATTCACGTTTCCATTCACACCATCTGGATGCTTGGCGGTCCACCATTGTGTATTTCACCAGGAGTTTTCTTCTTCGTACAACTTCTCTGTGGAATTGTTTACCACCTGTGATTTTTTCCAGATCAATGCGACTTAGGAACCTTCAAGAAAAGACCTTACTCTTTCC